GGGGGGGAGGTTCTTGGGGGAGGGGATATGTGATTCTTCATGCTCATTCACAAGGTCGTAGGGCAGAGACCAACACAGTATTGTAAAGCAGTTATCCCCAATTAGAAACAATTTTTTAAAAAAACGAATAAGGCTGTTTATTTAAATAGCTAAAGAAATCTCCAGTTACCATTCAGCTCAAACATCCTGCCTTGTTTTCACTTCATTTTAGGTTAAAAAAAAAAAAAATAAGTGTTTGTTATTTTGAGCTGCTACATTTTTGACACCAAAATGGAGGACTGTGAAACTTTGAGAAGCCCTGAAGGAGAAGAGACAGTAAACTCGAGGCAAGACATCTTTTATCCTCCCAATCCCAGCAGCGTTTGCTCTTTATTCTTTAAAAAGCCCTTTAAAAGTCACATGGGAAAGGAAGCACTCCAAGGAGCTTTTGATTCCTTTTGGTTTTGGCTAAGACAATGAAATTATTGAGAAAACCCAACCTTTTATAGAATACTGTTGTTGAAAGGACTTTTAAGTGGGTTGAAGACTATCAAATCCTTGTTTGTTGGGCAATACAGAGCAGAGGAAAAAAAATAAAAATAATTACTGAACAGGAGCAGATTCAGTGGGTTTGCATAGAGTTGCATTCCAGTGTCAGAATGTGGCATCAAAGGCTTCGTTTACCGAGGTCACTTTTTTCATCCTAAGTGACCAGGTGATGCATTAAGGCAACAGCAAGGTCCTCTTCATCCCTTAGGGTTTTGGAAACAGACCATGCACCACCATTCTCAAACCACCTTCCTTTAACCCTGACCTTTCACATAATGCAGGTCAACTTGCTTCCTCTAGTGATCACACCTCAGTGGTGCATGGGCCTCACTCTGGATGCTTCTCTGAATTCTGATTACTTAGCAAGTGCAGGAAGGCCCAGGAATGCCAGAATTATCCAGTCATTGCACATGGACACTTGATAGACCTCTTCTTTTCTTCAGGATACTTTCTTCGTATCTAATTTCAAATCCTAGGGTCACCAGGGTGATAAGGGCACTTCTTAAACACTGGACAGCATGGTGGAGGTGAAAATCTGTTGTAAAATCTGAGGGATGTCCTTGGTGTCCATGGCAACGAAAGACCGGCCCGCTGGTAGAGTTCTCTGAAGCCTGTCAGGATGGATGGGGAAAGAAAATTACCATTGCAAACCAGGGCGCCCCTTCTACCTCTGGCCTCTGCAGACCTCAGCATCCTAATGGTTTCTTAGGAAGGGAACTTCTCAGTTTTTAATATCTTGCCCCTGCTTGCAGTGGAACTGGCTGTTGCTAGGCAACAAAGAGCTACAGAGAGAGGCTCGCTGGAAGCACTGAACCGAAAGAAAGGTCTTTTCAGTGAGAAAATTGGGGAATTTGCAAGGAAAAAAATGCTCTCCCTTTTATGACAGTCATTTCCTGGTATTTTATATTCCCTTGGCAGAAAGGAGACCTCGGGATCAATCTGGGACTAGCTCACCTAGATTCAGAGAATGTGTTTGCCTCACACTGTCCTACTAACTGCCTTTCCTGCCTTAGAAAAACAGGCTTCAAGAAAAGTGGCCCAGCCAAACCTCAAGTGGTTCATTCTCTCTTCCTCTTGCGTTCTCTCCCTCCTCTCTCTCTCTCCCTTTCTCTTTTCTGCCCAACATCATACAATGTGAAATATAATCTGACTTATGCAATGCCTGCTTTGATGACACTGAGGTTATATGGGCTTATGATAATTTTTTAAAATGCCAAGTTATCATTGGGAACAAAGGGCCATTTTTGGAGGCAATAAAAGTACAAGACACAGTTTTATCCCAAAGAACGCCTCCTTTTACTGTGCCAGCAGAGTTTGGTTTTGGAATGACATTTAATAAAAGTCCACTCTCCTGTGCAGTATCATGCATTTGGCATGCCTGGTAGACCAGCTAATTCTACAACGTATCTCCTGCCAGTGGATGTTGGATCATTTCCCCAGGAAACCACAAGGGTATTATTGTGCTTTCTTAAGTGTTCAAACAGGATCTGTTCACTAGAAAGACAAAATAGCTATTTCAGCTCAAACAGTATTTGTTGAGCTTGTCGTCTGGATTCATCCTGGGCTGGTCCTGAAGACAGTCTAAGCGGAAAAGGCATGGTCTACATTTGAGGACATGGAAGTTCTCAAAGAGGCTAAGATGCACAACTGAGAAAGATGTGAAGTCATTTATAATAAAGGGACTGTAGTTATGTGGTATTAAGTCTTAGCCGTACCCTGCAATCCTGCAGCAAATCAAAGGGAAGAGAAAATATGTCAGAACTTTGGACCCTAAAACATTTCCTAGTCTGTCCAGGACTCTGTGGGCTTCTCTGATAGCTCAGTTGGTAAAGAATCTGCCTGCAATGCAGGAGACCCTGGTTCGATTCCTGGGTGGGGAAGATCCCCTGGAGAAGGGAATGGCTACCCACTCCAGTATTCTGGCCTGCAGAATTCCATGGACTGTATAGTCCATGGGGTTGCAAAGAATCGGAAAGGACTGAGCGACTTTTACTTTCCGGGACTCTGTACCATAGGGTGTGACAGGTAAAAGAGGTGGAGAAACAAAAGGGTATGTGGGCTTTTGTGATGTAGGCAGGATTTTATTTTCTTTTTCTGAGGAGATATACTTTCAATTGTGTTTTCTGCTCCTTACAAGTACTTTAAGTAGAGAAAAACCATTTCTGTCTGTAATTCAGAAAGATAAATGTTAGTGTGTTTAAGAAACGAAAATGTTTCCATATTTCTCCTTTCAGATGATCCATGATAGTATTGATTATCTGACCGTAAGTCTCTCTACTGAGTATTTAGCATATTTAGTGTAGCATCTTACTATAGATACAGACATACATGAAGGAGAAATATAAGGAAGATTATCTGTCTGACTATATTTATATGTATATATGTATGTGCTGTGGTCAAGTCACTTAGTTGTGTCCAACTCTGAGACCCCATGGACTGTAGCCTGCCAGGCTCCTCTGTCCATGGGACTTTTCAGGCAAGAGTACTGGAGTGGGATGCCATTTCCTTCCTCAGTTTATAGATACGTAGATACCCATATTAGATCTTATTTACATATATGTATGTGTATGTTGGGCTTCCCTGGTGGCTGAGTGGTAAAAAGCCACAGATGTGGGTTTAATCCCTGGGTCAGGAAGATCTCCTGGAGAAGGAAATGGCAACCCAGTCCAGTATTCTTGACTGGAGAATCCCATGGACAGAGGAGCCTGGTGGGCTGTTACAGCCCATGGGGTCGCAGAGTCGGACACAACTGAAGTGACTCAGCACGAATGCATGCATGTCTAGTATGTCTAAATAAAATGTAGAGACACACACATCCCCAATCTCTGATGCTACGAAAATAGTAGATGCTTTGAATATGATTTGAGCATGAACTGAGCTTGACACCTTGATGTAGAAGGCAAAATGTATAATATACTGCTTAATTTTAATGGTAGACAAATCAATTTGCTATTTATTTTATTGTTGGTTAAATATAAGCTGAAAAATACATAACTTAAAGCATTGCTGCTCATCTAAATATAAGGTAGAGCATCCCGCCCCCTCGCCCGGACTGTCAGCTGCTGAGGGCAGCCACTGGCTTCTGTTTCTCCCCCAGGCCCCCACTGTCCCCACTACTTCGTGTCAGCCACTCAGACCTCTCTACCCCTGCCCTCTGCTGCACCCTAAGGCGACGCTTACCTGGCTGCTTGATCGCCTAAAGAGCCAATGAAGATGGCGAAAGCATTCACTTGAGGGTTGCTTGTCAGGATCTGGGCAAACTTGGCAGGATGTATTCCATAGCGAGACAGGTTCGCATCACTTAAGACGATGACGAAGTACTCATCAGCTTCCTCTTTGGCGATTTCCTTGATGGCATGCTCCGTCCCCTCTAAGGTGTGGTCCCCACTCATGCAGAACTGAGCGTGGGCGTGCATCGTCTGGGGGTAAGAGACATGGTGCAAAAGCCACTAATGAGAAGCTTTCTTTAAAGAAAACAAGAACAACACAATTTTTCTATTGACAATGAGAAAGCACAAATACTCTGAGTGAGTTCTATTTAATTTGCACCTAGACTGACAACAGTGCACAGTGATATCTGGATGTGGTTAAGACTCTCGTTAAAAACAGGAAATGTTCCAAAACGATCCAGTTGGCACTGATTTTTAAGACTCAAGCCGCCATTTAAAGTGACAATATGTACGGACTTCCCTGGTGGTCCAGTGGTTAAGAATCCGCCTTCCAGTGCAGGGGACGTGGGTTCCATCCCTGGTTGAGGAACTATGATCCCACATGCTGGGGGGTAAGGAGGGGACACGAAACTACTGCTGAGTCCTCATGCTGCCGTGAAGACCCAGCACAGCCAATAAAAACAAAAACAAAAATCCAATGTGTCAGGAAATGTAAGAAAATATGAAGCTTGGTGTCACATTGGAGAATGGAGATAACACAGGAGAAAAATATGGAATGGCTTGGGTTTCCAATAAACAAAGTTATAATACTAAGCACTGTACTTAATTAATAGGAATGGAGGAAATTTACTCTAAAAAACATGATGAATGTATTTCTATTGTAGATTTAAGTATGTGAAACTGAATTTATTGTTAGAAAAATACTAAGGAATACATAAAATTGGGTTTAGAGAGTACTCTAGAAGGAGTCCTTCTTTTCCTTCTGAAATATATAGGGGCTTAGAAGAACTCTATAGAATATAGACTGTAGAATCCTGATACTAGCCTGAGTCCCCTAAAAATACAGGGAACCATGTTTAAATTTTGTACGGTGTAGATCGGGAATTTCGGCAGGATAAGTGCTTTCTCACATTAATGCTTAAATTTCTGTAAAACAGAAAGCCTTTTTGCTTCCAGTTAACTGCCGCTTCTTCAGGGAATCTTTTCAGAGAACCAGTAGATACTTCACCTAATCTGGTGGAAGATTTCATAATATAGAGGTAATTGAATGCATTTACCTTGAGAATTTCTAGTCTTTGCTTATTGTCCTTGGGGATTTTGTTAATTGGTACTAGACCAATGTTGTATCCATCTCCAGAGTGTCCAGCGATGTCATACTATAGGCAAGAGAATCACATTTAGAATCCTCTGTCCACTAAAAAATGATCACTGGACCTATAAAGCTTCCAACTTTGTTTTGTTATTGCCCAGAATTGTCAAACCTAAGTCCATAGGTGTTTACCAACAAAGGCAAAAAAAAGTCCATGCTCCTTCACTTCTGGTCCATTCTCATGTGATCTCTGATCTCCAGCCGCAGGTAGAAAGTATGAGGAGGGCTTCAGGGGCTATTAAGAATTCCGTTCTTAACTTTCAGGGGGAGAGCTTAACAAAACATACACATATGTACATACACACACCCCACATTATAGTAGGCAGAATTTTAAGGTGGCCTCCAAGATTCCTGGCCCCCTGGTATATACAACCTATACAGTCTTGTCCCCTTAGATGTGGGCAGGACCTCATGATTATGTTATGTAAGGAGGCCAAAGGGATTCTGCAGATGTAATTAAGGTTACTAATCATCTGGCTCTGAGTTGATCAAAACAAAGATTATCTGGATGGGCCTAATTTAACCACATGAGCCCTTAAAAAGTAGAGAGATTTTTTTCTTGTTGATAGTAGAAGGGGAAGACAGAGAGATTTGAGTGTGGGGGAATTTGAACCGTGGGAGTTATTTGTGGTCTAGATGGTGGACCACAGAGCAGGACCCCGAGAATCACGTCTAGGAATGACCCTGCCTGAGAGACAGCACTGAAACAGGGACCTCAGCTCTACAACCTCAAGGAACCAAACTCTGCCCGTTTGAATGGGCTTGGAAGCCGATTCTTCGCCAGAGCCTTTGAGTAAGAGCCCTGGCTGGCTGACATCCTGATTTCAGCCTTATAAGACTCTAAGCGGAGTCCGAGCCTGCCTGGAGTTCTCAACTACAGAACTGTGACTTTAACAGGTATTGCTTTAAGAAGCTAAGTCTATGGTGATTTGTTACACAGCAGTAGAAAAATTAATACACATACTTTTTTTCTTCCTGAACACAAAAGTGAAATATATTCACTGTAGAAATCCTAGAAAAGCACAAAACAGAAAGTGAAGAGGAACTAAAGACCCTCTCAGTGAGGGCGAAAGAGGAGAGAGAAAAAGCCGAGTAAAAGTCAGCATTCAAAAACTAAGATAATGACATCTGGTTCGATCACTTCATGGCAAATAGAAGGGGGGGAAGTGGAGGCAGTGACAGACTTTCTTTTCTTGGGCTCCAAAATCACTGTGGACAGTGACTGCAGCCATGAAATTCAAAGACGCGTGCTCCTTGGAAGAAAAGCTATGACAAACCTAGACAGCGTTATTAAAAAGCAGAGACATCACTTTGCTGACAAAGGTCCTTATAGGTAGAGCTATGGTTTTTCCAGTAGTCATGTACAGATGTGAGAGCTGGACCCTAAAGAAGACTGAGCACTGAAGAACTGAAGTTTTTGGACTGTGGTGCTGGAGAAGACTCTTGAGAGTCCCCTGGACAGCAAGATCAAACCAGTCAATCCTAAAGGAAATCAACCCTGAATATTCACTGGAAGGACTGGAGGTGAAGCTCCAATACTTTGGGCCACCTGATGTGAAGAGCCGACTCGTTGGAAAAGACCCTGATGCTGGGAAAGACTGCAGGAGAAAGGAGAAGGTGGTGGCAGAGGATGAGATGGTTGGATGGCATCACTGACTGATGGACATGAATTTGAGCAAACTCTGGGAGCTGGTGGAGGACAGAGGAGCCTGGCATGCTGAAGTCCATGGGGTTGCAAAGAGTTGGATACAACTTAGCAACTGAACAATAACAACAACAACAACAACAAAGAAGTAAAAATTATCCATGATCCCATTACTGAAAGATAACTTCTGTTAAGGTTTTCTTATATAAGTTCACACACACACATCAGCATCAACATGATTTTTAACTAATGGATAACACTGACCATGTGATTTTATAATCTGCTTTTCTATTTAATAGTGCATGACAGAGATTTTTCAGTTTAGCAAATACCTTTTAAATTCCCTCTCTCACAGTGCACAAGAGAAAGTCCTGTCTGTTGAGAAAAGGCTGGAATTGAGACAGGGGCAGCATTTTTACAGAATTTGGGAAGAAGTTTGGGATTTGAGGCAACTATAATTGGAGGAAGGTAGTTCTCTCCAATTGTGGGGTTTGCCCCTAAATTCCCTTTCTCCTCTCATTTTCCTCTAAGAAATTTTTGTGATACTGATATAAAGATTGGAATAGACCTCAGGGTATTTGAGCAACTGGGGGATCTGAAAAGAAAATTCTGGGTGTGGGTCTGGGGCAAAATATTTTGGGGATTACTTGGAGTGCTACAGGCTTCCCTGGTGGCTCAGATGGTAAAGCCTGCAATGCAGGAGACCCAGGTTCAACCCCTGGGTTGGAAAGATCCTGGAATGCTATGGGTCAAAATACTTAAGAATCACTACTATCTATTCACCATCAGTCAATAGCTGTCTTTTGAACACCTACCACATGCAAAACACTGCTTAAGGTGTTGGAAGTGTTAGTAGCTCAGTCATATCTGACTCTTTGCGACCCCTTGGATACAGTCCACCAGGCTCCTCTGTCTATGAGATTCTCCACACAAGAATACTGGAGTGGGTTGTCATTTCCTTCTCCAGGGGATCTTTCTGACCCAGGGATCAAACCCAGATCTCCTGCATTGAGGGAAGTCCTAAGGTGTTGAGGGGAATGCAATGATTTCTTTTCATCTCTATTCTTTTTTACCTCGTGAGTTTTTTGAAGACAAGGCTGTATCTTATTCATCTTAACACATTTTATTATCTGTGAGTAGGCCTGGTGTGTTTCTTGTTGAAATGCTTTGAGACAGTCTGCAATCAAGTTTGGCAATTAAGAAGCTTTCCTTTCCCATGTGCACTACACTCTTTCACAAATAAGTTCTTTAGAAGCTGGAATGCATTTTTTTTCCTTCAGCACTCACGTGATACATGGTGGTTAACCCAAGCTAGCTGACAAAAACAACCCATAACATAACTGAAATCATGGTATTTAAAATGAAAAGTAGAACATTTTCTGTTGAAATAATTTTTATACAAAAATAAGGAGTTAGAAGGCAGTCAGGTTACATGGGGAAGACGAGTTCCATTCTAGACACACTGGAACTGTACATTTGGGGAGATATCAGAGAAGAAACCTATTTCTTGTCATCTGCGATGTGGCTGTCACCCTCGGGAGGGGTCAGTGTGACTGTCAAGGGTGGATACACAGAGAGAGAAGAGCAGAGGGCCCCAGCCAAGTCTTGGGGGGCACCCTCCTCACTGAGCTGGAAGAAAGACCCAGGGTGGAGTGAAGAAGGTGCGAAAGAGAAGTGGCGGATGCAGAGTACCCGGGACGGCCCTGGAATCAGCGTGCATGGGTCAGGAATGGCTGTGCAACCGTGCCGAGCGACATTCACCACAGCCCTCCAGGAGCAGGGCGACTAATGACCTCTGGGCAGAGAATCCCTGGAGGCCTTCGGGGGCACAATTTCAGTAAACGGTTTGTGGTATGAGATAGAAATGGAACAGCATCTGGACAGGTGTTTGGGGAGAGGTGCCTGCATTTCACAGGCAGCAGAGAGGAGGTGACTCATTGGAAAAGACCCTGATGCTGGGAAAGGTTGGGGGCAGGAGGAGAAGGGGACGACAGAGGGTGAGATGGTTGGATGGCATCACAGACTCAATGGCTGTGAGTTTAAGCATAGTGAAGGACATTATCCTGGAGGTGGTGAAGGACAGGGAAGTCTGGCGTGCTGCAGTTCATGCAGTCGCAGAGTCGGACATGATGGAGCGACTGAACAACAGCAATAACAAGAGAGGAGGCGGTGGGGAGAGACCAGGGTCAGCGTCAGACGGCCAAGTTTGGGGGCGGGGGAGGACACGTTTTTCCTGAGACTAAAAGGAAGGCAGAGAGGATAAGAGTGACAGAGACAAGAATACAATCAAAGGGATAAGTGGACAAATGACGGTCCATATATGATGTCTATTTAAAAGTTATAAATCATGGTCTCCTGCATTACAGGCGGATTCTTTACTGTCTGAACCACCAGGGGAGCCCATAAATCAGGTTGCAAATTGCTAAATAAAATATGTTCTTCCTCTACTTTGATAAATAGACATTATAATGACCTGGAAAGCCAGGGTCAAATCCCAAACACTTGGATTCTCGAAGCTCCGTGCGAGAACACGGCGGTGTGGGCAGGCCTGGCCCCTGGCTTGCAGCCCACGTCCTTCTCTCTGCAGCTGGCTCTGCCCCCACCTCGCGGGGCTCACAGGCACGTGTGTGGACACCCGGTCCTCATGTCCACAGGCCATCACACCTTTCTGTCCTCCTCAGCGCCGGGCTGCACTGGAGACGGACCGATGAAAGACGCCCAAGAAACAGACTTGGGTCACCAGAGCAGGACAGCCGGGGATCCCAGGACTGGGAGCAGGTTCTAGACACAGAATCTAAGTGGGCTTGCTCCACTGGCCCCACAGACTCTTCTCTCAATGGAAGGGCATGCTCAGAGGAGGGCCAGGGAGGGACATTAGTCTGTGCCTGGTTTTAGAGTGTTTTATTAAACATACGAAGGATGATATGAAAGAATTTTGGGGGAAATTTGGCGATCCACTAAAAAAGCTTGGTAAGAAATGCTTTCCAGAGATATAACAAATTCCATATATGAAAAAAAAATTTCCCTCTATATAGTTTGCTGTCATTGTCATGAAAAGGTAGCAAAATTTAAAACCTAAAGGCAGCATAGCCCTGGCTGGGTGATGGGGTGCTGGCTTCAGAATACGCCTGACCAAGGTCACCAAGGGCTCAGTGTGAGGACTGGCCGAGATGTGGAGAAAACTTGCACAATTCCCCCACGGGCACAAGTGCCAGGCCCCGTCCAGACTGACTGACGATGGTCACGGCAGGCACTGTTTTAAACAGAGAAGAGTGGCAGCCACGGCAGTATTCTTGCCTGGAACATCCCATGGACAGAGGAGTTGGACCGGCTACAGTCCATCGGATCACAAGAGTCAGACA